CACCGACCTGACAGAAAAGTTATCTGCCAGTTAATCATCTGCTAAGTACGTAATACAGATAGCAGGTCAAAATAATAGTGGGATACCCCGTGTAAATGGTGAGCACCCTGAGTGAAGATTGGCACGCAAATGACTATTCGTCGAAAGAATACAAAAGTAGCTACATATAGCAGCGCACAAAATGATCCACATCGCGACGGATGCCATCCAAATGGACCATATAACTTACAAAACGAATGTACTGGCGTTAATGGCCAGCAAATGAGTTCAAATAAGAAAACCTTTGAAGATCAGCAAAGGACGATGAAGGAAATGCCCAATTCCGAGGCAGCCCCGATCCATTCCATTAAATGAGCGGCAATTAGACTACATTAAGTTCTGCAAACCCGAGTCCGGTCAGTTTTGTGAAGTTCACGCAGATTCTTTGGACCAGCTTGTTAATCGATACACTGAATGAAACCCTCCGGTCAATGACTTCAAAACAAAGGATTTGTCCGGCTCCCTGCGTAAGCTGCACTATTCCAAAATATATTACTTCAGATAGGTAATGCTGTGCCATTGCTCTGGAGGCATTCGCGCTTGGACAATGGCGCCCACTCAGTAACATCTCGAAGTGCGAATCACAGCGATTTTCAGCGACTTGGCTCTAAACTTTACCGTGCGACCAACGTGTCGGACGGTACTGCTGATCGGACGCGCTCTTGCATCGGCTGGAGGATACCACTCCTATAAACTTTTTACAATATTTGGTTGTTGTTAAAAGGCAGGTTTATCGAACTTTTGCTGAACTCAGAGAAAGTTGAAATAGGATATCGCAAGCCGTTTTGAAAAGCGGTGGTATCTGTACGCTTGAAAACATACCCAGCTTAAGACTGAATGAACAGTAGCTAACAGAATACACAAGACAGATTTACCCCTAGTTCAAGGATGAAGATTGTTGTATTGTAGGCGGCAATAGAGGAACAGAAAACAACGTATTGCTGTTAAGGGAATATCCTAATGGACAGATGACGATCTTATAAGAGTTTTAGACGTGTCATTCCCGTCAAATTAGGGTTAATTACATTTTCCCGGTTCCAGTCATTAAAAACGATGCAATCCCAGCACCAGCAGCCCACAGATGAATGACAACAGCGGTCATCAGTCATCTGTGTTCAGAACAGCAAGTCATTCCTCTAGTACTTATCAGGTGCCTGACAACGTATCATCAGTTTATCAAACGGACCAAAAAACTGGCTGTAGCAATCAATCATACACACGGCCAAAGTGAGACACGGCTTGTCAGCAGGTCTGGACGGATCCGCGGACTTATCTCACCACCCGGGCTGAGTCTGGTGGTCCGTTACCGGGTAAATGAGCTTCCATTGGTTCAGGGCTTTCCAATGTCTCATGAAATTTAGAGGGCTGAGTCTACCGCTAGTACAGGCTGCTGGCTGGAACCTTCGGAAATGCAGGGTGCGGAAGCTGTAACGGGATATGTAGGGAAATGATGGGGAATATGACTAGATTCCAGCCCTCTAGCTGGGACGCGTTGGCGATGACAGGGAAGAATCTTGGGAATGGAAGGAGCAAATAATCACCGACTCGTAAAAAAATGAAACCAAGTAGCCCAAGAATCAGCCTACTCTTTCATCATTATCGCTATCAGCAGACGTCCCTGGGCTACACGAGGTTTCACCGGACATCGCGCAGTTATCAACCCTACAGAAGACGTTTTGAAAGAATTGACGAACAAAAATGGGGAATGGCAGCTTGTCGTCCTCATGGAACAGGATCGACATACCATCTCTCCCTCTCAGACGGCATCACCCCAGGTTCCCTCTCTGTAGGAGCAGATCAGCTACCAATATCGAACAGGTGTTTCATCCTTCACCAAACGCGACTGCCGGCGGGCGGATGTGAAAGGTCCTTGCCAGTAGAGACGCTAGCCTTCCCAACTAGACTCAGTACACCCACCCACACCAGTCCTAGTCACAACAGCTGCCCCTTCCAGACAGGGCCCAGTGTCTGCCCCTCTCAGCCAGGGTCTCAGTCTTTCCTTATCTCAGCTATCTTTACAGCAGCTGCTCCTCCCAGTCGGGGTTAAAGCACCTGCCTTTCCCAACCAGGGTCACAGCACCATCCCCTCCCAACCAGGGTCACAGCACCATCCCCTCCCAACCAGGGTCACAGCACCATCCCCTCCCAGCCGGAGTCACAACACCATCCCCTCCTAGCCAGGGTCACAGCAGCCTGGGTCACACCATCATCCCCTCCCAGCCAGGGTCACAGCACCCATCCCCTCCCAGCCGGGGTCACAGCAAAATCCCCTCCCAGCCAGGGTCACAGCATAATCCCCTCCTAACCAGGATCACAGGCATCATCCCCTCCCAGCCAAGGTCACAGCAGCCTGGGTCACACCATCATCCACCCCCCACCAGGGTCACAGCACCATTCCCTCCCAGCCGGGGCCACAGCACCATCCCCCCTCCCAGCCAGGGTCACAGCAGCCTGGGTCACACCATCATCCCCTACCAGCCAGGGTCACAGCACCATCCCCTCCCAGCCAGGGTCACGGCATCATCCCCTCCCACCAGGGTCACAGCATCATCCCCCACCAGGGTCACAGCACCATCCCCTCCCAGCCAGGGTCACAGCACCATCCCCTCCCAGCCAGGTCACAGCACCATCCCCTCCCAGCCAGGGTCCAGCATCATCCACCCCCACCAGGGTCACAGCACCATCCCCTCCCAGCCAGGTCACAGCATCCAGGGTCACACACCATCCTCCCAGCCAGGGTACAGCACCATCCCCTACCAGCCAGGGTCACAGCACCATCCCCTCCCAGCCAGGGTCACGGCGCCTGCGCCTGCCGGCCGTCCTTCCCACACCGTTTCGGCTGCGGACCGCCATATGCAAATAGCGCAGTCAGCGCGGCAGGCCGCGGGCTGCGTCCAGCCTAATCAGAGTCGGGATTACAGTAATCACCGGCCGCCGCTCCCACGGACCCGTCCGTAAGTGCTTTTTATTCTTCGATTTTCTGTCACGCAGAGGGCGGCCGGAACTGTGTCGCGCGCCGGCCAATCCGGTGTCACCGTCGCGGCGGGGCCGGCTGACCCCGGCGCCGCCGTCCGCCGCCGCCCCAGGGCGGATGGGTACCTGTCTCCTCCGCGCCGGCCGGCCACCTCTGGCCCCGGGCGACTGGCTGTTGAGGCGCGCCGCCTGGCGGCTCAGGGATCTGTTTGGACAGGAGGCATGGCCACGGCGAGTGCGGGTGGTGAGGGATCGATGGGGTCGTGTACGGTCCTTTGTGACCTGGCTCTGGTGCGGGGGGTGAGGAATCGATGGGGTCATGTACGGTCTTTGTGACCTGGCTCTGTTGCGGAGTGTTTCGGCTGTGCTGTTGGGTGCTTGAGTCTGCATGCATCGTTGCAAAAAGATTCTCTTTCCCTCCTGTCCGAAACCGATAGAACATGAAATTTTGGCAAAGCAATGAAGGTGAAGAGTGAGAACAGTCATGCTGTTTTGAGTATCGATACGACCACTAACATCACAGCAGAAGCCAACCTCTGTGGCAGGTCACAATACCCCAGTTTGCGCTCGGTGTCGCACGAGTTGATAAACGTCAGGGTTCACCGGTGGTGTTATGTCGGTGTTCCCCGCGCAGTCTCGGCATATGTCGGGTTACCATCACATGACGCATTGCAGTTACCGTCCCTCGCTGGCCATCAGCGCTGGGATGCCCCATCGATCACTCCGAACCATATTGTCACTTACCGTAATGCTGGTAAACCACCGGGTCGTTGGGCGCCAGCTCCATTGCCTTGACGAACCAGGCCTCTGCCTCAGCAGGTCGACCCTGAGAGCCGTGCGGAGGGTCACAGAACGGTCACGGAACAGAGCGGGGTCGGAGGGTCCTAGCCTGGCTAGCGGCAGCCTGTTTCCAGCCACAGGCCGTGCCCAAAGTACCTGTCTCCAGATTAAAACCCTGATCAGCATCATCCGGTTTCACAGCCACGCAGCCATTCGGAAACCAATCTATTAACATCCACAGACCCTACCTAGCATCAATCTGTTTTTAGCCACAAAACGCAGCCAGTATCAGGCTGTTCCCAGCCATAGAAACCATCCACTGTCCATCTGTTCCCCGAAAAATATCTGGTCCCAGTTCGGCGGCCGCTTTTTGATGATTCAAGACCGGATGATCCTTGGGTGGCAAACCACATACAAGACGTGCACTCGTTGATCGGGAAAAGTGGCCGTGTCTGCGCTTCATTGAGGCATCAATCTGCGGAACGCCGCTTCCCTGGACACTGCTAGCACAGCTGCGGGACAATCCAGTTTGTCTGGTTATGGCGCTAATGCATATTTCGTCTCCTGTGACAGGCTAGGGTGTTATGCAGTGATTTTTTGAGCGTTTAGTGACAAGCCGTCAACGTGGAACATGGTCGAGATGGCAGATGAGATGACATGAGCTGACGAGAACATGGCGCGCTGAGCAGCTGAACACAGTTCTCAAAGGCGTTTTTTGAGTTTTACAATCTAAGCACGCCGCGTCCGCCGCGGTGCTGTTTGCGGATGCAACCGAGACCTATCAAAATGAGAGGTAAAAACGCCGTGCACAATTGAAGTGCCTTGACTCGAGGACGTGCCAAGTATAAATGTCACAAGCCTGTTGCGGAGCTGAAGCACTATCCTTGTTCCGCGGATGCTTACAAGCTCCCTAAGACGCGAACACCTGGTGGACCCTGCCATGGCGACAGAGAGCTTTATCAGTTTTCTGTCCATCCCTGGCACAACTAACAGGTGTTACCTCACGCGAGAGCTCGGCCAGATAAGCCGCGTGGCAGCAGGCGACCCACCCGATCCGCCCATCTGCGCCGCCTACCATTTTGGCCAGCAGCTTGCCGTAGGTGAGGTGCGCCGGCACGTGATCGGGCTTGGCACGCAGCGCCTCCTTGTACCAGTGTTCGGCCTCGGACAGCCTGTCCACCTTGAAGAACGCCTCGCCCAGCATGTTGTCAGACTCTGGCGACGCACGGAGCCAGGATCAGGCAGAGCGAACGGGGGGCGAGGGCAGCCACCCGCGGCCAGATGCGCGCCGAGTAGGGTGGCGGACTGTCCGAGCACGGAGTGCAGCAGGTGCAGTACTCGTGTTGTGGCGTTTTTCTCACGTGCTTGCACGCGCCACGTTGTTGTTCACAACGCGAGCACTTAAATCACGACAAGCATCCTAACATTGCATTATCCAAACTGCGAACGCTACTCAAAACCTGTCGGCAGTAAGCACATATGGTGAGAGAGAGAGAGAGAGAGAGAGAGAGAGAGAGGAGAGAGGAGGAGAGAGAGAGAGAGGAGAGAGAGGAGCGGGGGGAGAGAGAGAGAGAGGAGAGAGAGGAGGAGAGAGAGAGGGAGGGAGAGAGAGAGAGGAGAGGGAGAGAGAGAGAGAGAGAGAGAGAGGAGAGAGAGAGAGAGAGAAGAGAGAGAGAGAGAGGAGAGAGAGAGAGGAGGAGAGAGAGAGAGAGGAGAGAGAGAGAGAGAGGAGAGGGGAGGGAGAGGGGGAGAGAGAGGGAGGAGAGAGGAAGGAGAGGGAGGAGGAGGGAGGAGAGAGAGAGAGAGAGAGAGGGAGGGAGAGAGGGGAGAGAGAGAGAGGAGAGACAGAGACAGAGAAAGAGAGAGAAAGAAAGGAGAGAAGAGAGAGAGAGAGGAGAGAGGAGAGAGGGGGGGGGGGGGAGAGGCCGAGCAGCGGGGTGCCGCCGTCTCAACACCGTCTACTGACTGAGGGAGACCCGCCACACTAACCTGCGGCTGGTAGTGCGCCGGCATCCGCTCGATGGCCTCCTGGTACACGGCAATCGCCTGCCGAAAGCTGCCCTCGTCGGCGTGAAGACGGCCCAGGTTGAAGAGAGCCGATATTTTGGTGGCCTCGTGCGTCCGTGGGTCCTTGAGGCCGGCACCGTCCAGCGTGGAGCAGTGCCGGTAGACGGCGGCAGCTGCCTCGCGCTGTCCCGACAGGCCCAGCACCAGCCCCTTGTTCAGGTGCGCCACTGGGAACGGCCGGCCGCGCGTGAGCAGCAGCGAGCTCGGAGCCAGGCCGCGCGCGTGCGGAGGCGTCGGTGCTGACGCGGGAGAGGGTGCGGTGTGTGTGTCGGACATGAGCGCTGCACAGTGGCACCACTTCTGAATCATCAGGCGGGCTTCTCCCCCGGAAGCTAATGCTCGTCGTTAGGATCACTCTTGCAAGATGGATCATCTGCACAGACGTGTAACAGTGATGGTTCATATTTACATGTGTATTAATCGGACACGGTTGAGTCTATAAATCATGTGGATAATCACACTTACTGGCCATCCTCGGACGATATTGAATTGCCTTGTCATAAGACTGAAGAGCTTCATCGTACCGTTTCTGTTCTTGATATAAAATCCCCCTGAAAAAGACATTATCGCCTTCTTAATACCGTCTGATCCTTTGCAGGGGATTAATCGCCGGTTTGTAATTTCGGTCTGTACACGGCCGATCCCTAACCCACAGCGTCGCGCTGCTAATTAGTCGCAGGTACATGTCATAACATTTTATGAGGGACCGTTTGGTGATCATTGTCTCCGCCATGGGTCTGCACATGCAGACAGAACAGCAAAATGTCTCTGTGGGTGGACTTCATCTCCATATCGGCGGATAATCGCGGTCATTAGTGCTTGGGAACATGGCAACCCTGCCCGGGCATCACGGAGCGTGCAGCAGCGGCACATTTTCGCCGCAACTGTCCGCTGTCGTGCACGTCCGCCGCCTCCGCCCCGTCGCCGAGCGACAGCCGGCGGACGGTGCGGTCGCTGCATGCTGTCGCTGGAGGAAACCGGGCGCTGTCGGCACGTCCCAGGTGACAGCAGCCCCACGGATGTCACTGACTAGCCGACTAATCAGCCGGACAACCTGGTGCAGTTTTCGGTCGCCCCCGAAGATGTCGTGTCGCGGCGCAGGCCGGTACACAATCAGCCAGAGGGCCTGTCACGTGCTGCGGCCGACTTTCTCCGGACACGAGGCGCCTGTCAGGCGCCGTTGCCGGCCTTCAACTGCCTGAACGAGAGCAAGTCGTGTAGGACAGCCGAAAATGACCGCACTGTTGTCCGTAACACACAGTCACTCGGCTGCTGCTGCTGCACAGTGTAACTGATCGGATTTGGGTAAAGTCCCTAGTCGGAGCGATGGTTGAACACGCATGCTTCGCCGACTTCGCGTGTAGCCTGTACGGTTTCGGGAGGACTGCCAGACTGACGGTGGTAAGACTGTGCCTAGGTCCAGATTCGTCATATCGGCGGATACCACGGCGAGCAGTGGTGCGGGTGCCCTAATGACGCTGTGGCTTGGTCAACACTGTACAGGATACAGTCTACGTCAACACTTACAGATTGTAATGAACGTCAGCCATGTTGGAGCGGTAGGAGAGAGCCCGCTTGTAAGCCCGCTCCGCCTCCTCCTTCATGCCGTTGGAGCTAAGGATGTTGGCCAAGTTGCC